AAATCAAGCCCCTGCTCTGAAAGTCCGCTTTAAAGGCAATGGATTCCATCTAATTGCCAACACCTGTATCCACTTCCAACCTATCCAAAAGGTTGTACCATGTTTATATTGTTTCCAAGCTGCTGTAGTAGAGCTGACATTTTTCATCTCCCTATCAGACTTTAAAACATGAGGTTTGAGTGCATTTGTAGATTTACAATTCTTCTAACATCACAGTATTTTGAACATATTTGCATACTTATTTCCTACTGGCATGAGTTTAAAAAAAAAAAAAAAAACATGAGTTTAAAAAAAAAAACAAAGTGATGATGAGTTTTTCTTCATGTCAGTATGCTAAGACTGATGGTAGTAGATTTAAATTTCAAAGTTATGTAATCATTCCATATGGTAACAGTCATAAATAAAAACTTGAATGAAGCTACCCCATGTGTGGGCGATCAGCAAAATTTTAGATACCAACTATTTCAGAATGATTTATTCCAATAGTTAAGCTGTTTGCCTATGGCAAGAGAGTATATCAGGTTTGTAGAAGCTATTAGGTTTTGCAGAAATTAAAAATTACATCTCTGTTGGATATGTTCAAACGTGCAGCGAGTCTGTTTCCATCAGACAATGTTCCAAAAATATGCATTTCAGCTTTTACATTTCACATTAAAAAAAAAAAAGACTTGTGTTTTGGTCTACTGAATCTGTCAAAAAACAAAGTATTTATATGAATATTTGTAAGAATAAGTTATCATATAATCATCCGACATGATTCAATCATATAACAAACTTGAGAACTAGTACACAGACAGTTAGTTGCCAAAATGCCATTCGTTTCCTACCATCAGTTTGGTTATTTGCAGTTGAAAAGAATAAGCTCTGAGTTGACAAGAAGAAAAATAATTATTATAATTTTTTGCCATTTCCATACACATCAAACAAGTATTATTAAATACTTGCTAATACTATTAAATACTGCTCTATTTGCAGGTATTGAAGCATAATAGGGATTCCCATCTGCACTAAAGATGTGTTGACTGACCAAGACTTCACATGACTCAAAAGCAACTTTAATTGTCTTAATCCTTCTTTTATTACTTATGTGAATATTCAGAGACACAAAATGTGGCTAACTGACCTGCTTCAAGCAATGCATAGCACCAGGCTGAACTAGAAAACTGGACTGTAAGCCTGTGCCCTTCATCTCATTAATATTATTGCACTAATAAGGCAGCTCTCTGGCAAAGCAGTGTGTATGAAGTCAGACAACAAATGGAAAGCAAGACTAAAGTTATTAGCCGAACCTGGAAGTGCCCAAATGCTAAGCAGCTATAAGCATTCAAACATTCAAAAATTGCCTATGAAGGCCTTTCAAGTGAAACGTGAATGCAAGTAAACAGAGAAACATAATGTCATAATCATGGTAATTTGGTAACGCTTGGAGGTCCCAGCTGAGATCAAAGCCCCAGCATTCTAGGCACCACAGAAACAAGTAGAAACTATTCTGACTTAAACAGTTTATAAGTTATGTAAATAATAGAAAAGATAGCGAGAAGAAAAATGTGTAAGCTTTTAGATAAGAGAACTGAAAGGTCTAATGGATACATTAAAAGAACGATCTTTCTGTTAAGGAGTTCCATGAAGTTCATTAAAGCCATATTAGATGCAAGCACACTTAGAGTTTTACCTCTTAAATTAGTTACAAGATCTTTTATAAGTCTACAATTCTACAAAAGTAATATCAAAACTGCAATAGTAGGAAACCCAGCTTCTTAATCTGTATTATTTCTGCTACCCAGTAGCTACTTTTGCTGTCAATGTATCCATAACACAAGCAGTGCATATACCCAATAGCTGAAAATGTGACAAAAGAAAAAAAAAACTTGCTGTTAAAAAAGCAGAGTTTCTGTTCCATTTTACTGAATGCTAAAACTGAAGTATTTCCTAATATATTACTTCTTGGCTCACTAGTCCTCATCAATCCATTAATTTCTAGTCCTTGTCCTTGTGCACCATAAGTATAAATTGAAGTGAAATGTTCACAGATCAGTATCTTTTTCTAGTATTAATTAACAGAAAAACAATTAGTTTTACAGTGAAAGTAACTTCTGGTTTTTACTCAAAAAATATTAATTGTAGCACCTGGGAATAAAGAAAATGGGATACTTCCAGTTCATAGGTCAAAATACATTCAATATATCTTCTAACTTACAGACAGAGTGGTGAGGTGCTGAAACAGGCTGCCCAGAGAGGTTGTGGATGCCCCATCCCTGGAGGTGTTCAAGACCAGACTGGATGGGGCCCTGGGCAGCCTGTTCTAGCATTAAATGTGGAAGTTGGTGGCCCTGCATGTGGCAGGGGGGTTGGAGATTCGTGATCCTTGAGATCCCTTCCAACCCTGGCCATTCTGTGATTCTGTGCAACTCTTGAACTAACAAATAGACACAGGAATGAAGATACATGCTTTCCAACTGGTCCTTATAAAAAGCTGACAGCTTCCAAACACATTAAATAATTTAGTGGTAAGGCTCTCCTATTCAAATTAGTGCACATTTTTTCACTTTTGTCCACAAATTACATTCTCATTGATGGATGGTCTCAACAAACAGTCTAAGAGTAATTGTTCTTTGTCAAATGCTTGTAGGTGTTTGTGTGAGTAAATTTGCATTCTTTTCTTCACTGATTTTCTGATCAAGCAGTATTTAACATAAAAATGGATTTGCCTCATACTAATGAACCCTGGATAAGACATATCATAATTGAAAATCCTATAACGGCATCTGCTTACAAATAAGGAAGCTTTGAGAAGCAAGGGTACTGTGTCAAAATATTGTAATTTAAATAAATTGTGTATTCAAAACACAGCTTTGCACAGACAATATATTCCTACTTCTGAGGATATTCGATTTCACTGAAAACACAAAATGCATATTGGTCTTCCGTAAGTCATTCCATAGAACCCTTATAATTATTTAAATTGTTTGAAGTATCTCAAAAAAAAAAAAAAAAATACCACCCTTATATACACAAAGTTTACATGGTGTATATATATATATATATATATATATATATATATATATACACACATATACACACACACACACACACACATATATATACACACACATATATATACGGAATTTTTTTTTCCCTTATTTAATAAACCCATTTTTTTGTTTTACATTGCTTCTTTCTATTTCATACATCATGTTTTAGGGACATTGCAAATGTAGGGATTTGTATTATAAAACTTATTAAAGGAACTAATAGGAAGAACAGCAGTTGAACAGTATGCAACAGATCCATCATCCTTACTCCCCCTCATTTATGAATAGAAAGAGATACCGTGCAACATAACTACATAAATGAAAAACTCTCCTGCAACAAAAATGAAATAAACACAGCATGGAAACCCCAACCCACAGCATGAAGTGAACTTTGTAAAAACTGTTGTCAAGCATAAAAGAAGGAAAGATCAAGCAGTCAAAGCATCACCACTAAAATTTAACTCCAGAAAGTTAGGTAAAAGGCACCAAATTGTCATCAAAGCTTTAACCACTGTAAATTATATAAGCCTGTACTTAAGCCTCAACTCAAATACTACCAAAACCAGACCCTGTCTAGGATCAGTAAGCTTTAGATCAGGCTCAACTTCTAGCATGCTACTTGTTGAAGTCTTCTTTCTTAGAAACCTTCCCTACAGCATGTTAGACAGCCAACTGGCCACACATCATCACTGGAGATCTGATGTCACTCCCCTACACTGCAGAGCACTTCAAGGAAAGCTAGAATGTATGCAACTGCACATGCTCCTAAAGCAACTTAAGTACAGCTATGCACACTGAAACAGGTGTTTCAAGTTTCAGCAGCACACCATATTTTACAACAAAACTCACATTTCAGACAAATAGGCATTGCCTGGCTTCAAGTTTAGGCTGGAAGAAATGAGCATATACTGTTGAACTATTCCTCAAAAGGCCAGCCATGGTCTGTCTACTTCAACATCAAACAAACATTTCAAGAGGATTGTAAAAAGATATATATATATTAAAAAATAATAATAGTATGATGTGCCCATGGCTTATATTTCCTCCCTCTTAATATATATATATATACACACACATATATGCATATTTAAGAAGATTTAAAAAAAACAGCAATATATGAATACATTTGGAATAATACTACAATAAAATTTGGTTCAGAATTCTTTAGAAATATCCTTGTAACAAAATACATTATAAGTGTTTCTGAAGGTGAAAACATACAGGTAACAAATCTTAGGAGCATGGTACAAAGAGCAATAAATGCCTTTGATATGTGTGTATGTGTTGTCAAAAGTCTTTTCTGTACTACCTGCAAGCCAAGCATCAAAGCAGTCTTCAAAACCCAAATAACAACATCATCTTGGAATGGAATACCACATGATCGTACTCTACAGCTGAAATTAATCCATTTTCTTTATCAAAAACTAAGAGAAAAGCAAAATACAAAATAGCACAAAGCATCAGAAGCAGGGATTTTGTGAATATTTATCTTAGTAATCTGAGATACATGAACAACATAACCATTTTAAAAATAGGTTGCCATAATCTGCCCCAGGATATTGCCTCTGGTAAACTACACAACAGAGAAGGACTTTATTTTCTCGTTACAAAAAGCTAATCAGGTCCATAACCTTAAACAGAGAGCTGCATAATGAATAACTGTAACCTAGCAAGTCAATAATGAATGTAATAGGAGTCAGCACCAGATCCAGCACTTTCTTGGAGGAAAGGACCTGCATCCTGAGACCTGATATTAAAACATTGCCCAAACACATCTTAATCAAACATCTTCATCTTCTGCCACCTGAATGCAAGAATGCTCCATCTGAAAAGATACGAACTGCTCTGGACTGCACTGCTTCATGGCAGATTAAGTTTTTACAGCACTATATGCCTATCTGACAATATCCATAGCCAGGCTTTCCCTTCATGAGCATTTCTGCAAGACCTGACATTTACAATACTTACGCATTGCAATAAGGTTTCTTTTCATATCCTTTGTAGTTATTCATGTTCAGAGCCATTTTGCAAACTTCACAGTGGAAACATCCTTTATGCCAATACTGTAAAGAAATGTAAAGTAGCATTACTTACAATACCGATGTTTTGAAAGCTATTTTAGGACACAGGACATGTAAAAACACAGCTACACATCAATATTTTTGGCCACGCATCATAGATTTCTGTAAACTACATCAAAGGAATCACTTTCATGCAAAATTGAAGGAGCTTCAGAAACACTCTCAGAAATGCAAATTCTCTGCTGAAGCGAATACCGAGACCTCAGCACAGTGACCTTGCCAGAACTGTTTTAAAGATAACCGAAGCAGGAGTTGGACATTTTGGTCTAGTTAAAAAGAGAAGAAACGATGCGATGCGTGACTCTTTGGTACGCACAACAGAAACTACATTTAGTGCATAAGACGGCGTTTCCCTCCCACCACCCTCCCTTCCCGGGGACGGTGCCTGGGCGCAGTGCCACAGCCCGGAGCGTTATCTATCTGCGAAGCGGACACGGCAGGGCCGGGGCTCGGGTCGCTGCTGCCGCACCCCGGTGCGCTGCTCCCGGCATCGCCGAGGCACCGTTGCGTAAGCGGCTGCCGAAGCATCGACCAGGGGAAGGCACCGCCAGCCCAGCGAACGGACTGCGCAGGCAACTTCTGCCCTCGGGAAGCATTCCCCCCGGGTGCCCGCTGCGGCCGCGGCGCGGCTCGGGGCGAGCCCGGCGTCAGCGCGGCGACACGGCGACCGCCGCCCGCCCTGCGCTGATGAGCGGCGGCGGGGCCGAAGAGCGGCAGCCCCCGGTACGGTACGGGCCACCTGCCGTCAAGCTCCCCGCCGCCTCGCCCCCGGCCCGTCCGCCCGCCCTCCGCCGCCGCCGCGCACCTTGTCCAGGCAGTTGACTTTCTCGGTGGGATAGACCACTTTCCCACAGCGGGCGCACTGGGGGTTCATGGTGCGGCTCCTCCCGGGCTGCGGCTCCCTGCGGCCGAGGCTGCTGCGCGGCGGGCGGGCTGCGCGGGGCTGCGGGCGGCCGACCGATGGAGCATCCCCTGCCCGCGCGGGGACGCCGGGGCTCCTCAGCGGCTGCCGACGGGCGAAGAGGTCATCGGCGGCGGCTGGGGAGGAAGCGGCGCTCCAGCTGACTGCGGCTCGGCAGCATGTGTGAGTGGGCGGGCGGGGAGCCGCTGCCAGTCGCCCCCGCCCGCTCGCCGCCCCGCATCCACCCGCCCCCGCCGCCTCCGTGTGCCTGCGCGCTCGGCTCTCCGCGCCGCCGGCGGAGTGACTCACGCCGAGCCCCGCGCGGGCAGCGGCCGCAAGCCAAGCCCACGGGCGCGCCGAGACGCGGCCCGCAGAGAGGGGAAAGGAGGATGGGAGGAAAGAAGGACGAGCCCCGCGCCGCAGCCAGCTCGGGGGGGGCGGGAAATGGATGGCTCCTGCGGCGGGGGACGGCCGCACCTGTCCCGGGCCCGACGGGAGAAACGTTGAGGAGATGGTGGAACCCCGTCCCCGTGGAAGGAAGGAGGACGAGGGCACCGCTCCGGAGCTCGGGAGCTCCCATAAGTTAGGCCCGAGGCCTGGGGATAGAGCTCGGCGTGATGTGGGGTGGAAAAGTGAATTCAGGAGGAATGGAAGAGGTTTTAATTCCCTAAAAGGCAAAACGACACTGAACGCATTGAAACTTTGAGGGGAGCAGGGAGCTGTCCTCACGCAGGTCTCAGTAAAATCCTTCCAGCAAAGCATCTTCACGTGGGAGCCCCACCTGGAAGGACTTGTGATAGGAACATCATATATAAATGAGGTTTTCACTTGCAGACCTATCACTCCCTTCAGTGTGGTGAGGAACACGTGCACATTTTCTCCTCCTTTTGTTTTGATGACTTTAAGGGCTCAGTTCTGCTGTCAAGCTGTGGCTATGTTACCAGACACACCTCCTATGAGAGGCTCCAATATACATCTCCAAATCTCTACAGGAATGGTAAATTCAGCTCCTCAGAGTAGACTTTTGCCATTGATTTTTGATTGGCTCATTAGTGCAGTGGGTACAGCAAGAAGCTGTGCCTTTTTCCTTAGTTATGGACCTCTTTAACTACCTGGAACACAAACCACACCGTAAGTCAATACAGTGCAGCCTTTTCTGAGGCAAGGGAAGTTTTTTCATTTCAGTAGTGCAGAGCTTTGTGTGCCTAACAGCAAGGACAAATTCTGCACATAGTTGAATGTTATTAAGTAATCAGAATGCAGTCAGCTCAACTGGAATATTTGGCAATCATTCTTCCTTGGCAACCCAACTTCTATGCACTGACTGGTTGAAGGCGTGGGGAGACTGATTTAATTGAAATTAATAATATATGTGATTAAATGAGAAATACCTAATCAGGCTTTAAATATTAAATGACTGAAGTTATAATGCTTCTTCTGCCTCATCAAGACATAAACACCTGGCACCCAATGGAACTCCTAACGTTGAGATGCTAGCTATAATGCAAGCAACAGGAAAGCAGATTTGCAGGCAGTCCAGTAAATGTTTATTGTCTGCTCTAGCTTTCAATGCAGTAGAAAACAGAGAAATTGCTGACCAGCTAGGTTTTCCTTTCTATAGCCTGCAGTCTGGTCCATTTCAGAGCCATTGCTACAATTTGCAGATTTCAAAGTCATTAATCAGATTTTTTGATGTTTTGATTCCAGATTTTTGATCTGGAGTGTAAGATTTTCTTCTCGGACAATAGCTTGATAATTTATCATAAACACTTGGAGACCAGTTTGGCCTCAGCTTATTAGTACATGGAATTTACTCAATAGAAATAGGAACATATGTACCCTGTAGTGCAGAGGCAGCCTTCCTCTGCTACCTCTGTGCTGTGCACATTGCCTAGCTCTTTCTGCTGGACAGTCTGGCTGGAGGTGGATATGGCTTTTATTCAAGGAACTGTAAATGCCAGACATCTGCATCTGTTGGTGAAAGAAACCTGAATACATGGTAACTCTGTGTATTCTGCAGGAGCTGTCATTTAAGCAGCCATCTAAGACCACAGCTGAGTTGTATTTTTCCCCAGGCCAGTAATAGGAAGTGGGATGGAGACCCAGCTAAATTAATCTCAGATAGAGAGCACTGGATGTTATTTATAAGGAAAATACATATTTCTGGTCATTTATGGGTAAAAGGGCTCCATAGCTCACTAGAAATAACTAGAGGGATTACTGAGCACAGAAGGGCAAAGGCCGTACTCTTTAGCTACCCAGCCGTTGCCACAAGCATAGAGAAGGTGGACCTCTAATTAGAGTCAAGAATTACTTCCCAATTGGTACATATTGGCAAGTTGTGAGTTGCATCCTGAGATGAAACAGGCTGCCCAGAGAGGTGGTGGAGTCATCATCCCTGGAGGTGCTCAAGAAATATGTAGATGTGACACTAAGAGACATGGCTGTTATCCTTCAGGAAAATAACTTGACATCTTTTACTTTTTTTTTTTTTCCTATCAGATTTGTTCTTTTTAAGGTTATAAAAGGTGAGATTGCTAACAAGTTACGATAATGTATTCAAAGTACTGCCTTACTACTGCAAAAAGTTCATGTGCCAGTTCCAGCAGATAACAGATATTGTATCATGTTTAAGTGAAAGGATGATCTCACAGTTAAGGCACTGCATGAAGAATTGCAGATGAAGCCTCTGAGCAGTACTGCAATACAGATAAATTATGCTGAAAGATGTTTTGTGAATTTCTGTGGTTGCCCTTAATTGCGTAAGGACAGAAAGCATTAAAGCAGTATTTGGTTGGCACAGGAGTTGCCAGTCAATTTTTGACCCTTCCTGTCTGAGCTTACATTTAACTACATAAAAGGAACTGCATAGTTACATTTCAAATAGGAACAATGCAATTTTAATGTGACCTTGTTTAGAGCTACCCAGGGCGCTGCTAGAGAAATGTGCTTTTAAGTTCTCTGCTGTGAAGGAGTAATTCATACTTTTCATATGCCAGGGCCAACAAGAGCCTATTCTCAACATCAGCTATAGAAAAACTAACACCAGAAGTGAATGTTTTCCTATCAAAAGTGAACTAAAGCCAGCATGGTTAGACTTCATCATTTTCTGTAATACGATCCAAACAACACTCTGTAGTGGAATCTCAACACATTCCCAGAATTAGCCAACGTTTCACTACTCAATCTGATAGAGTAATGGAATACTACAATGAAAGTGGACAGTCAATTGCCAGCAGTGTCTTCTGTTCCTAGTCTCCTTTCTTCACTTAAAAGTGTGCAAACTGAGTATTGCATCCTGCAATAGCCATGTGCTGAGCAGATACATGAAAAAGCAATAATCAAGAGTCAGCATGACAACAGAATTGTCTAAAACAAGAGACTTTTATTCCCTTAATGTTAGAGGTGCCATGGAGGTTTCTATCACTTTATGCAAGGGGGCAAGATTTTCTCTTATTAGTGGGTCTTCCAGGATTTCTGGTTGATAAATTCTCTTCAAATTATGGGGAAAAAAGATGATTTGCCTTTGCATTTGAGTGAAGGCAAAAGGTAACTATAATACAACTTGGTGAAAAAGGGGTTGTTGCTTGGACTGTGCTGAACAGAAGGATGTTATCTAGATCATTTTGTTTTTCTTGAAGCTAAAAGAGCTCATCTGTGAGCAAAAAGCAGTTTGAAAACTTCATTCTAGTGCAAATCTTATTACCTACGTGCATACGTATTGTTTCAGAGAAAGCAGCTGGGCATCAGCAAAGCACATGTACTCTATAACTCAGGTGTGTGAAATAGGTACAGCTTTGCGGATGGCAGCGCACAGGCTGTTTTGAGAATTTGGCAATGCATGCTCTTTTAGCAAACACATCCAGGGATGGAGGTAAATGAGCACGAGTAGTTAGCTCTAACCATACAACCAGTACTTTGTAAATTGTGTCTTCTGAGATTTGGGAAAAGCATTCAACCTGTCTTACAGCTCAGTAACATATTCTAACATCAGAAGCTTGCCTACACACTCTTCACATTAATCTTACATGGTATATAGTTTAAAAGCAATGAGCAATGCAAACAGGTGCAGGCAGAGCACAGTACTCCTTGCTACCAAAGGCACACTGGTCCCAGCACCCCAGTTCAACCATTCATTCTATCATTCAGTTTGCAGGTGGAGGTGGGGAACTCACTGAACACAAAACAGTGTCTGCATAGAAAGTAGCTTGGAATCAGGGTGCTTTTAAACCACATTTCCATATTCAGTGACAGTGCTTAGAAGAAATACACATTATTAGTACTTTAGCATTGTTATTTCTCTTTCTGTGGTATAGTCTCTCTAACATTTTAATAGAGTTACAACTCGGAGGATGTTTCAGGCACATAAACAGAGCAAAACTTTATGCATATTGCATTGAACATATAGGGAAATTTTCTACCAGCTCTGAAGTTCAACAGTTTCCTCTTCCTTCCTAGGAAGAATTAGAGATTCCTACCATGTTTTGCAGGAATAAAAACAAATTAAGAAGAAATAAGGATTGGAGGAGCTAAAACAAATATTTTATTCCTTTAATTAATTTTCATGAATGATGAATTGATACAGAATTGAAAAGATATCTTCAGATCTCTTAGAGAAGCTTAAGGAAAAGACTGTCTGCAGTCACCTCCATTGACCCTTGTCAAAACTGGTTATTTCATCCCAATCCAAACAGATTTCCAGAACTTCTACCACCATAGAAAACCCATCCAACACAGTCCAGGAAAAAGGCTCTGTGCTACAACATCAGCTGAGCAGCTGAGGAAGGACAAAATGTTAATTATTCTGTCTGACTTAATAACTGCCACATTTTATTTGCTGTGTTGAGTAAAAATATAAAGCTATTGTGTTTTGCCTATAAAGATGAAATGGAAATAAAAGATTATTTGTTAATTGTGGGTATTGTTTACTGGCCTATGTTTAGCCTAACAGAACAGGGATTTAGAGGTAGAATTAGGGTTCCAAAGTGAATTTTTAAAACTAATAAGAGGGTTCTGGTAGCTTTGAATAAAAGGACAACAATGGCAGTATTCATGCTCTTGTCTATGCAACTACTTTCCCATTATTTCCAGAAATAGTAGCAGAGTAGCTTCCTGCCTAAATAAAAGAGTTCACGTAGATGGAAATTAGTCTATAAAGCTTTTCAAAATAAGGTTTCCTTTTTTAAACTGAATGACATGATGAAATACAGG